TTGATATAGTTACAGCAATTTATGACTCAAAAATGAAATTACGTATTTTGTGATAATGTTATATATTTTTTTATCCAAACATTTTCTAACTAAAAAATGTATAACATTACCATAAAAATACGTAATATTACCATAAAATACGTAATTTCATTTTTAAACCATAAATTGTCGTAATTATACCCAGAAAAATAAGTAACATTTGTAATTTAAATGTGCATATGGTACACATTTTTTAACAGTACCCAACAAACAAACACTTAAATAAATACAAATATAAATGTAAATCATAAATAGATTGGTCTTAATGGAAGTAGCCAAAGTGCTTAAATAAATTATAAGTAATCAACGGATAGCTCGATAATTTATTAGTTCAAGCTATTATTTATAACCGGAGTTATCAAAGAAGGTTATTGGCATATCTGATTAAAATTACCTAAATATGCATATGTCAATGCAGCAGGCAGAATGCATGCGACAAAGCTTATATATAAATAGAAGATGTTGAGGACATTGCAGTCCAATGCATTGCATTGTGTTTAAGAAGTTCGATGTGAAGAGAAACAAACAAGAACATGTGTAAAATGAAAGATATCAAACTGTTAGTAGTTTTCGGAATTGCAGTTGTTCAGTTGGGAGTGTATGGAAAAGAGTATGTAGTTGGAGATGAAGGGGGATGGAGTTATGATGTTGATTATTACGCATGGCTTTCTAATAAAACTTTCTACGTTGGAGATGTATTAGGTAGGTGTTTATATTTACACTATTTTTGTTGCAGTATTCACTTACACTGTGTTTGATTGGAGAATTTGAAAAATGACTTGAAAACAGAAAGAAAAATAGTAAGTAAAATATAAATAAAATATACTTATATTTCATTTAATTTCACATACTTTTTTCGTTTCTATTTCCAAATTTCTTCCCAAATCTCTCAACCAAACACAACGTTAGTTTTTTTGTTCTGTTTCATTTGCAGTCTGATTCTGTTTTTTTCTTTTTTTCTTTTTTCAATTATCTGGTGCTCACTCTTAGTTACCCTACTGAGATTTCACGTGAGAGAGGAAGGGTTGTAATTTTGGGAACATCACTTTTTGGACTTAAAAGTTAAAATCATTAAAAAAAAATTTTAAAAAACTAGCAAATTATACAAAAAATCAAAAATTCCCTTTTTTCTTTATTTTTTGCACATTATTTCGTAAAAAATCAAAAAGTCATTCTAAATTTTTTTTATCTCATATTTTAGTCAAAAAATTAAAAGAATACTAAAATAGCATATTTGAGTTAGTACAATTTATTAGAACGTTATACCTTTTCTTTATTCTTAAATCTTTGCTAGAGTGTTTGATAATCACTTCTATGTTTTATAAATTAGGATGTAGAAATAGTTTAAATAAATTTAAAAAAATGATTAATATGATTTGTTTGGAGCAAAAAATAATAATAATAATAATAATCCTTCAAGCCTTTGGGAGAAAAAAAATAAACAAAACAACAAAACAAAAATACAAAGAAAGCAAATGTACACCTCTGAACGCTCTGTATAATATAATATATGCATAAATAATGATGCACTTTTGGTATACAAATGCTTTAACAAAGACTTATAACAGAGAAAACATATTTGGTTTGGGTGGAAAATATTTAGGACAGAGAAAACATCAAACTAACACATCTAATAGGATCAAAATTTTATTCTCCACAAAAAAAAAAAAAAAAGCTCTGCTATTTAGCAGAACATATTTGGTATTTTTTTTTTCCATATATATATATAGGGAAATTCTACTAGACACATTCTCTACCATATGCACTCCCTAAGATCTTTATTTATGCCTCGTGTTTTTTGGTTATGACTTTTTTTTTTTTTTCTAGTTATGACTTAGAGAGTATGAAATTATGTCATTTTTTTTTTAGTTATAAAATGTATACCGTACACATCATTTGAAGAGTGTGCACCATAATGTTTCTCATATATATATATATATATAATATTTTGTGTGTGTTTTTCCAGTATTTAATTACAGCAAGGATGAGCACAATGTGATCATAGTGAACAGCACAAGATATGATCAGTGCATTGCATCACCGAATTTAGGGGAGCTACATAGCGGACACGACAGGGTGACTTTAGAAAGTCCTCCTGGTAACAAATACTACATATGCCAATGGCATTGCGATTATTCCGATCAAAAGCTCAATGTCACTGTCTTTCCATCGCCATTGCCTACCAAGAACATGATGAAGAAGAAGAAGAAGAAGACGACGAAAATGTTAGGGGTGCTGCCTTTTTCCAATTAATTTTCTTGTGGTGGCATTGTTCCTTTTAATTGTTTCTACTTCGTATAATAAGATTTATAATTTTTTTTTTCTTTTTTTGTCGTGTAAGTTATTAATTCAATCACTTTGGATATGTGTGATCTAATATAAGCTTTCTTTCTCTATGCTTATATCTTTGTTATCCTCCACCAACTAACTAATTAACCAACTATGAATGTGATTGCAATTAACTAATTGTGTGATCATCAGTATACACACCAATTGAACCTTAAAAACCATAAGGCCGAAAAACCCAAAAAAGACCAAAAACAAAAAACAATGTCACAAAACAATCGATGAGAAATGAAATGTAAATTGATATGAGAACATCACAAGATCAAGAGGAATGTAGTGCACCTCAGTGGTGTGAAGGTCTACAAAATCAAAGCCCCATAATTGCCTTACATGCCATACAAAAAGCTTGTGCACAAGGCTGAAGATATCATTCTCAGCTCCCGCTATAACAAACCCGTATGCAACTCATGCTTACATCAACTTCGATATAATTCTAGAACATTCCTTCTTTGTATATGATTTATGAATAAATAGAGTTATGTAATGCCTTGTGATAATTGAATAAAATTTATTTGACAAAGTTTTTATGGTACCAGAGCAACAGAGCCCATGCTCATTGACTGATCCTTTCTCTTCTTCTTCTTCTATTATTTGGTTTGTTTCCTTTGCAACAATGACTACCACCACAACTCTAGGTCTTTCCTCTTCTAGCCTTTATTCAATCTTCTCTTCCCATCTTACCCACAATTCTCTCTCTTGCCTATATCAAATTTGAACTCATTGGTCACTTAAAGTTTAATTCATCTAATTTCATCATTTGGAGGATCCAAATCTAGAACATTCTGAGAGCAACAAAGTTATTATAGTATATTGATGGCACATACCCTTGTCCAAGTCCAACTATAATCCAACAGCGTTTCGAGATTTTCGGAGGCCTCAAACTAAACATTAAATGAGGTCATGTCCAATTAAGTTTTTGAAAAGCTAGGGCCTTCCACAATAAGAATTTTTAGACAATTTATTTATTTTTTTTTTTTTTTTTTTTTTTTTTTGGTTTTTGGGGGGGGGGCGCTTAAGTGACAGCCTAAGTAGCCTAATAGTTGAGCCACATCTACTATAATCACCACTTAAGGCAAAACAAAAGCAAATCTTGCCTCCCATGAATCAATCACATTGATGTACATCTCCTCGGCTGCATCTTAGCCATAGTTATTCCATCTATATATTCTTTCCATAGTTCTTTAATCTAAACATCCTATATAAATTTGGAATGTTCTGGAGAAGAGATTCATGTCTTTATAGATCTCCCATTCACAAGTTGAAAACCAAACTCCATTATCATATCACGAAGGCCTCTTCAATTATGGAATCTGAGTTGAGAGAGGTAAGAAACATAGCAGATCAACTAGCAATGGATTTGTCTTGTTTATAGCCAAATGTGGGTTAAATTGCGAAGGGTTTAACTTATTTACTGCTTCTCATAAAACATTTGATTTATGGAATGCCTATAATTGAATGCAATGTTAGTCAATTTGTGGACCAAATCAAACTGTTATTTCCGACCTACATATTTTCTCTTTTCTCTTTTATCTTCTCTCTCGCTCTATCTCTCTCGCTCTATCTCTTTTCATCCCCAACCCAACCTTCACTACCCACTGGAGCCATCGCATAGTTCTCCTCTCTACAAATCACATTTGACCCTACAGACTTCGTCACATTTCTCTATCTACAGTAGACCACAACCATTCATTCTCTTAAAACATCAACAACAAACCCAACATCAAACTCCTTCACATCCAACAATCTCAACCCACTTTATGGATGAATCAATAGTTGATCTAACTAGTTCTGGTGCATATCACTTCAATTAAATTGCTATTTCAATAACTTAATTTTTGTTGCTTCGATTATGTGCATCACTCTCTGATTCATTGATTGATAACATGGTTATTGAGAGGGTTTTTACTATCAGAGGTGGAGAGTAGAAAAATACATGATTGAGTTTTGTAGTGAAAAAATTGAAGAATTCCTTACGTGGCACTTGATAATTAGTCATCTAGAAACCCACCAAATTATGAAAAAGTCATAAAAAAGATAATCTCATAGAAAAATATGTAATTAGAAGAGGCACGAAACAGATTAGATATCCATTATATACTTCTAAGTGTCTAAAAAAGAAATTACTTTAGCTTTCACGTGATATGTTATAATTAGAAGTTGGAAGACATTTAAAGAAACTTAAAACATGTTTGTGTCGCTCTGCATTGTTATTCATGCAAACAAGTGAAAGTGTGAGAAAACTAGGCAGATAACAATAAGGAAAAATAGCCTTTCTTATTATAATACGATCATATTGATTTTGAATACCAAATCCCTTGAGACTTTGTTAATCCGTTGGGACTATCACCATATTTTGTAAACAAACATGATATTTATAGATAACAAAGAGGGACCTGTGTATGGAACTTAACAAGCAAAAAAAGAGAAAAATGGGAATGAGGGTTAGAAAAGAAATTCCATTAGAAGCAAATGAGAAGAGTATAGGGGTGTTTTTATAAATATAATAATAATTATGAAAATCCCCAAAGTGGAGGGAGGGGGCCAGGGTCAATTTAGTACTCCAAACACGAGGGGAAGAGGAGTGGCATAATTTTGACCTAAATACCCATCTTTATCTGAATACCAATCTCCCTGTATTTCCCATCTCAACCCTCCCAACACCCTCTTCTGCCCCTCTTTTTCTCAATCTCCCCTCTCTTACCCTTCCCTCATCCCCCCCAACCCCCTCTCTCTCTCCTAACAAACTTACCCGCCAATTCTCTGTCTTCTTGTTCTTTTTTTTCTTTTTTGGGTTTTTTTCAAATTCTCGTTTACTTCAATTCAATCCCCCACAACACCAGTACAAACCCTAATCCTCACCTTGGTTTGATTCTGCACCAGATCGTCCTCTGTTTTCCGACTTCTTCAACTTTTGCTCCAAATCCAACTCGTTGCCTCCACTTGAATGTGAAACAAAGAATTCACTTTTCGGTTTCATCCATTTCAGGTAATCGTTTTTGACGGGTTGTGATTATTTTTTGCATTTGCCGATTGGTTTAGCTAAATGGGTTTTTAGTGATCCTTTATGGGTTTGGTTTTTTTTTTTTTTCTTTGTTTCTTCTTGAATATGTTGGTGTAGTTCCAAATAATCTATGTATGGGTGTGGAATTTGGAGTGGTTTTGGCTTCGATGTCCTGATAACAGAAGCTGAAGTTGGTTTCGTTTGGCTTGGTATGTGCTTCACTTTGTGCTCAGTAACAGTTTATGATGTGTTAAGTTAACTACCTTTTGTATTAATTTGGTTTTGATTTTTCTTGAATTTTGTTGTCTTCTATTTGTTGTTGTAGTTTTGAAAATTCCATGTATGGGTGCCAAATCTTGTTGGATTTTGGTTTCATCACGGATTTGTGAAATCAAGAAGCCATGATGAAGTAATAGGAGCAGCTGAATCTGGTTTTGTTTGGTATGCTCGTCACCAAGTCTCCTGTAATAGTTTCAAATTATTATGTTCAGTAATGGGTATTTTTCAAACTTTTCATTATTACCAAAAAAACCATCGAAAATGAAACCGATACAAACCATTCCTGAAAATAATTGGATGGTTCAATTTGATAATTTTTTACTTTGAATGCTTCTTCTTAATTATTATGTTGATAAATGGTAGTTTTAAGGCTTTTTCAATTGAAGGTACCTATTTTTTGAGACAGGTGTGTACCGGTACTGTTAGAAAGGTGGAATTTTGATCTGTCAATTGTTGGGGCTGAGGAACAATTGCAGTTTGTATTTGTTGTTTCATTTCTTCAATGGCTAACCGTGATTTGATACTTGAGCAAAATCACAATTTAGCGCTTGGGAAAAGCCAGCAGTTAGTGCTAGGCCATAACCACAATCTGGTTCATGGCCAGAACCATGACTTGGAATTGGGGCAGACCCAGGAGCATGATTTGGGTTTGGGAGAGACCCATGACCATGAGTTGGGTTTGGGACATGATCATGCCCGTGAAATGGGTTTAGGAGAGACCCATGACCACGAAGGTGATGATGATCATAGCTATGATCATGAAAATGGATTAACTACAGATGAGAAGCCTGAACATGAAGGCCATGAATTGGCTCTTCCAGCACAGAACAATGAGTTAGCTATAGCTGAGAACGATGAATTGGATGTTTCTGAGAGCCAAGAACTTGATGACAATTTGGAATTAGTTGTGGATCAGAACCAAGAAATGGGGATTGAACCTGCCGACGACAACATGAATGTTCAGGAATCCCAGCTTGTAGTCACCCCCATGCCTTTTCTTCAGCAACGTATCCTTGATACAAACCCTAGTTATGAACTGCATGTTGGCCAAGAATTCCCTGATGCCAAGAGTTGCCGAAGGGCACTGAGGGACACGGCCATTGCCCTTCACTTCGAAATGCAGACCATAAAATCTGATAAAACTCGCTTTACTGCAAAATGTGCCAGTGAGGGATGCCCCTGGCGCATACACGCTGCGAAGCTTCCTGGTGTTCCAACTTTTACAATCAGGACCGTTCATGAAGCTCATACATGTGGAGGAATTGCCCATCTTGGCCATCAACAAGCCTCGGTTCAGTGGGTTGCAAACTCTGTAGAGCAACGCCTTAGAGAAAACCCCAATTGCAAGCCAAAGGAGATACTGGAAGAGATTCACCGTGTTCATGGTATCACTTTGTCATACAAGCAAGCATGGCGGGGTAAGGAGCGGATTATGGCTGCCATGCGTGGATCCTTTGAAGAAGGGTATCGGCTCCTTCCACAGTACTGTGAACAAGTTAAAAGGACAAACCCAGGAAGCATTGCATCTGTTTATGAGAATCCGACAGATAATTGCTTCCAGCGTCTCTTTATTTCATTTCAGGCTTCGATTTATGGGTTTCTGAATGGTTGTCGGCCGCTCCTTGGGCTTGATAGGACATTTTTGAAAAGCAAGTACCTTGGTACTTTACTTCTAGCTACTGGATTTGATGGGGATGGTGCTCTGTTTCCTTTGGCATTTGGTGTAGTTGATGAGGAAAATGATGATAATTGGATGTGGTTTCTCTCCGAACTTCGTAACCTGCTTGAGGTCAACACAGAGAACATGCCAAGGCTTACAATTTTGTCAGATAGGCAGAAGGGTATTGTAGACGGAGTGGAAACAAATTTTCCAACTGCATTTCATGGATTTTGCATGCGACACTTGAGTGATAACTTTCGTAAAGAGTTCAATAATACAATTCTTGTTAACCTTTTATGGGAAGCCGCTCAAGCTCTCACAGTAATTGAATTTGAAGCTAAAATTCTAGAGATTGAAGAGATATCACAAGATGCTGCCTATTGGATTAGACGAATTCCGCCTCGTCTGTGGGCAACTGCATATTTTGAAGGGACTCGGTTTGGTCATTTGACAGCGAACATAGTTGAATCATTAAATACTTGGCTTTTGGAAGCCTCTGGGCTACCAATCGTACAAATGATGGAATGTATTAGAAGGCAGCTTATGACTTGGTTCAATGAACGCCGAGAGACAAGTATGCAGTGGTCATCAATTCTTGTGCCTTGTGCCGAGAGGCTTGTAGCAGAGGCCCTTGAGCGTGCACGCACTTACCAAGTTCTTCGTGCGAACGAAGCTGAATTTGAAGTCATATCTCATGAAGGTACCAATATTGTTGATATTCGGAATCGTTGCTGTCTCTGTCGGGGTTGGCAGCTGTTTGGTTTGCCTTGTTCACATGCTGTAGCTGCACTTCTTTCTTGCAGACAGAATGTGCATAGATTTACTGAGAGCTGTTTCACTGTTGCAACTTATCGAAAGACGTATTCGCAAACTATACATCCAATTCCTGATAAAACTTTGTGGAAGGAGTTATCTGAGGGCGATCCAAATGCAATCGAAGTTATTATTAATCCACCTAAATCGCTTAGGCCACCTGGCCGACCAAGGAAGAAGCGAACACGGACAGACGATCGTGGCCGCGCAAAGCGGGTTGTGCATTGTAGCCGGTGCAACCAGACAGGTCATTTTAGGACTACTTGTGCAGCACCCATTTAGGTAATTTGAGTTTTAAACCCTTTCGCTGTCCATGGATTTGTATTAGTTGTGTCTATATTGTATTATTATTTATGGAGGGAGTTCCATTACGTTATTAGGTTAGATTTGCCACGCAGCGATGTATGTCATTTGGCATTAGTTAAGTTCACTATTAGCTATTTCTATGTGAAGATGACCTCAATAATGCATTGTTAGGGAGGTTTGAACTCAATTGTTTTATATTTGAGATTCTTGGAACAGTGGTTTGCTGTAGTTCTACAGATTTTTGAATTTTTTTTTTTTTTTAATAAATAGAATTTCTTTCTTTGCATGTTGAAGGATTTGGGGACTAGAATCTTGAATATGTGTTGGTTTACTGAAACATGACAAAATAAAACATAAAAAATTATTGTAACTAATGTGAGTTGTGTTACACCCAAGCAAATGCTTTGTCTTGCTGAGTGATTTGGTTGAAGGTATGATTGTTATTCTTAACCCCTTTAACATGTGTCAAAAAATAAATAAATATATTAATTAAGGTAGATTCTTCTCTCTTCATATGAAATTATAGAAGGATTGGTCTTAACATGAATTCTTTAATCCCTAAGGTTCCATGCTAAAAATTGTTCTGGATTTTATGTCTTTTTTTAAAGGGAAATTCTATTTGCACTCCATTAGTCCCAATACACACCATCAACTAATTGTTTGCTCAATTCACACAAGACAAAAATTAAACCTTTGGATTTTGTTTCAATACACACCACTAATTTTCAAATAATACCAAATTACCCTCATTTTCTTCAACAAAGCCTAACCCTAGCCCCTTTGGTCAGCACCCCTCAACCTGATGCCGCACTACCATCGTAGCCTTTACCACTGCTGCCCCACCACCGTCGCATCCTTCCATTGCCACGACGCACAACAGTCGCAACCCTTAGTCGTTGCAATCCTGTCGTTCCCTCCCAACGCCACTGCAATCCCCTTCTTCAAACACACATCTCTATCTCTCTTCGAACATAGATCTATCTCTCTCTACAAACTGCACATGGTAGGTCGCCAACCAGAGGTGTGTTGCGATGGTTGTGGTCTTCCAGTGATGAGAGGCATGATGGTGATGGAGTTGTTGGGGTTTTGGAAGCACGATGGCAGTGGTCGCGAGTTAATGGGTTGTCGGGATGGTCGCTGTAATGATGATGGTTGCAGGGTGGTGAAGGCAGTGATGGGGTTGAGAAGGTGGTGGCAGCGGCGACGGGGTTGAGGAGGAGGATAGAGGTTCACGGTGGCTGGTGTTGATAGTGGTGGTGGCTGGTGTGTATTGAGGGATTTAGGATTTTGGCCTAAAAGGTTTGAGAGGCATAATGGTAATAAAAAATATATATATAAGGAAATGGTGTGAACGAAGAGTAATAGGAGAGCTTTTATTTTTACACACCATTTTCACTATGTGCACACTTAATAAAAAAATATCTTTATTATAATTTTAACCTTAAATAAAATTATTAGTATAGACATTAGTGTACATATTCTGCTAGAACATCTTCTAAAAAATATCTCAATTCACATCCATTTTGAGAAAAATACTAAACCCTACTTCTATTGTTACCTTAGAAAATATTTTTATTTTTTCTTACTCACCCCATATCATCTTTCAAAGATTCTCATCTTTCTCAATCATCACCCTATTTTAGTTTGCATTGACACCTTTCAAAGGTACTCATCTTTTCCAATCCATTATCAAATTCTCTTGATACTTTAGATTGAGTTCTTCCTCATCATTTAAACCCCACCATCATTATTTAGTTGTTATGGAAGATTTGTATGATGAAATTTCTGATTTTGATAAGGATATCGTGGTTTATGATAAAGATATCAATGAAAATGTAAGTTTGAATATTAAAATCGCCTTTTTTTTTTTAGCATCATTCTATAAACCAGGGTAAAAAATTACTAATTTTTTCAACAACCAAGTTCTAAATATATATATAATTTTTTTTTTTTGGGCAAACAAAAGCTACAAACAAATTTTTTCTTTTTTGACTACCAAGTTTCAAATAGGAACAAAACTTTTTGTCAGCTATGAATAGGGATGGTCATTTTCTTCCGCCTCAATCTGCACAGATTTTTTCCGTCCTGATTAAGAAGTAGGGCAAGGACGGGTTTTGCTTCCCCCGCCCTGATTATATTTATTAAATATATTTATATGTATATAATATATATGTATAATTTATTTATTTTTCATTATAAAAAAGATAAAACACTAAAATATTATACTTAATTTTTATTCATTTATTTTCTATCTTATATAATATAATTCTCATTAAATATAAATTATTATTCATAATATACTAAATTATCTATAATTTTTATTAATATTTTCATTTTTCAAATTACAAAATTAATCCGCCTCCCGCCCCGCGCCCCTTCCTCACCCGCCCTGTTTCCGCCATCTTCCGATTTGTCCCGCCTCTGATATGATATGAAGTGAGAGTGGATTTCTATAAACCCGCACCCAAATCCGACCCGTAACCATCCCTAGCTATGAAGTTCCAAACAATTTTGGGTACTGTAGTTTTGAATTCTTCCTATAATTTTGACTACGAATTTTCGAGCCCAGCTGTTGTTGTTTTGGGCATATTTCACCATGTTTTAACATTAATTCAATTAAATTATAATTAATTTTTAATAATTTATTATAATTCTTAATTTTTTATTCTAATTATAATTTAGATCACAATTAATTCTAAATATTTAATTATTTATTAGAACAACTACAAACACCATTAGCTATAGATGTGAAATGACTATAATACTCTCAAATTATATACTTTTTTGTATTTTCTTTCTTTTTCCTCTCTCATATACATAATTTATAGTGTCTTAACATTAATTTAATTAAATCACAATTAATTTTAAATTCTTAATTATTTATTATAATTCTTAATTTTTTATTCTAATTACAATTAATTTGAATTTTAATCACAATTAATTGGGATATTTACCAATAAATTTCATCTCACAAACAATACTCCAATTAGTCCCAAATTTTTTCTATGGATCTATTAAGTCCTATTAGTGAAGGATTTCGTTCCATGTGATCCTATTTTCGATTTTGGTAGTGTTTTGATGGATAATTATACCCTTTTATTAACGTAACAGATATGATGTGACACTCTAATATGACGGATATGATGTGACACTCCAAAAAAATTAAAAACTCCATTATCAATTTTTTCTAGTTTTAAAACTCAAAACATTATCAATTTTTTCATTTTTAAAGTTTTTCCTTTTCAATTTTGCACATCAATGTTATATCATCATAATCTTTTATAAACAAAAAATTTTCAGTTTTACAGGCCCAAAATTTTCAAGTTTTCCCAAAAAAAAAATTTTATTTTTTCAAAAAAAAACCTTTGGTTTTTTTTTTTTTAGTTTTTTCATTTTGAAAGTTGATATTTTAAAGTTTTAAAAATCAAAATAAATGTCAAATTATCATGTTCATTTATAGATAATCATAAATGATGAACAATCATTATTTGAAGGACAATTCCGACTATTAAAAATTTAATAGAACTTGAAAGTCCAAAAAATTTTAGTTAAGACTTAATGGAGTATAAGTTCATAAATTAGAACTTAGGTGTAAATGCCCCAAAATATAATAATAAAATATAATTTTTCTCAATTAAGAAAACAAAATCAAGTTGAAATCAAATATTTATATAAATAATTTCATTTAATAGAGATTAGTTTCTTTAAATATAACTTGTGAACAATTTTTTAAATTTTTTTCATACATTTGATATTTTTAGTTAATAGTGATTTTTTTTTACATGACACGTTAATACGACACGAACCAGACATGGACCTAAAACGACCCAACAAGATAACACTAAATAACAAACGGGTCAAGTTAGTGTTGAGATAATTCCTGACATGAACCCGAAATGACACGACACAAATACTGTCACGACCCAAACCCGCCCTATAGGTTTAGCATCGTAACCGGTCAGTGATCACCTTCTTAACAGTAAATAGTAATAGGGCTAGCAGAAGCCAATACTAATAAAATAAAATCGTCCAATGAGTTGTGGGACTTACAAGGGACAAAATAACTTTATAAACTATATACAGATATTCACATGGTCCACCTCAAACATATGACCAAAACATTTACATAACTTTGAGAATTGAGCCCATTAGCAAAATTAAACAAAACAAAAGATTTTATACCAAGACTTCATAACATTAGATCACAAATGCAAAAGGGCAAATTCGAAACCACCCAAAAAGCATGAACGCATGACAGTTTGGAACCTCACATTGAGGCACGGAAGTTGGCTTGACAAAATAGAGTTCGGGTTAACGTTGCTAAGTCCTGTCTTGTGTTTGATCACCTACATGCATACATAACTGTGTGCCAGAACCCAGTGAATAATCTCAATATAAAGAAGTTAAATAATATAGAACCAAAACAGTGTCCGAATACTAGTGATAATAAATACAGTTCCTCAAACCTTCGGAGAACCTTACATAGTTTAACTCATAGCTCATAGCGCAGTACATATTCAAAAGCATCATTACGCCTTTGACAGAAGATCATATAGAAGGTCTACAATGAAACGAATCATTTATCATATCTATGGACATATGTAGAATTCATAGGGTTCATCAAAGCATTCTGAGTTACTTACGTTTCGTGGTATACCGCAATAGTACTAAACAGAATATTAGCAAAACGACCACAATGGATCGAGGATATAAGCATAACGACCACTACGGGTCGACATATACATAATGATCGCAATGGATCGACATTTACATAACGATCGCAATGGATCGACATATACATAACGATTCTAATGAATCAACGTTTACATAACGATCGCAATAGATCGACATGACCATAACGGGGATTTCCAAATATGCAAGCATGTGTTCATGGGTGTCACATTCGATAATCAAAAAGGGAATCTCATTTAGTTTTATCAAAATCTCACCATTTTCGAAACATATCGTATTGTACACAATTCAAAGTTTCAAAGCGTAACTTGACAAAGATCTTAAGCAATAACTTATCAGCAATGACTTATCGTATCAAAGATTTCATAATAAAACATAGGTTTCACAAATTGTTGGATAACATAGTCATTTTCAAAAGTAATTCACATATGAAACCATCTTTATAAAGACATTGCTCACAGTACTTGGCCGAATGATACTCCTCGTGCAAGCAACCTTAGATGAGTAATATGGTGAAGATTTGCTTAATTTCCTTTCTCTCTCT